TATCGGTATCGGACATAAAAAAGTGGTATCGTGCCATCTCTAACGTCGACTAGCGCATGTTTGATAACCTTATTCAAGCTAACGTTACAAACTAACTGCCACATGAGTCGTTTAACTGCACAAAGTAAAGATGTAGTGAGGTGCACAAAACATCTGAGGTCAAACCAGTGTTCATTTACCTGGTCTGTGTACCAGTAGTATGGAGTCGGGTCGATTCCCTCCCTCTTGTATCCCTCCAGCAGCTCTTCAGCGTCCCAGATACGCATCGACCCTCCCACGATCTCACCAACGTTTGGCATCAACACGTCGACCTGCAGCACAGACAAACATACGATACTCGAGGGATCCAGGTAACTCACGTTTTTTTTTTTGGTAAATCAGAGACAGACCACTGTGTGTTATACTTGTTTAACTATGCATGTGACAAATAAAGAACTTTGAACCTTTACTGTGTTTAATGAATATATCAGATCATATCTTAATAAGGCCGCTGGTTGTTTCCTGACTTGCCGCTGTATCACAACTGCCGTTCTGCTGTCCTGCCTTTATTTTTAAGATAAAACATTGTTTTTAGTCACAGATGACCTGCTTTAGTGAAGCTCTACACCTCGTCTCTCACACCACAGGTCACTCACACTCTCCTGCCGAGCCTTTAACTCACTCATCACCAACTTACTTATACTTTAAGTCTTTACCTTTTTACCTACTTAATGCTCAGGTTGAAGTGAAGAGCTCATGCTCCTCTTCACACAGAAACTGTACTTTTAGTGAAGGACATGACCTCCCCGCTCTCTAACCAGGCTTCAGCCACACCGCAGCTGGATCTGTGAGGTTCGTACCGACTCAGTGAGGCGTTTGTCCTCGGTGCAGCGCTGCATGTAGAAAGATTTGATCTCGGCCGGGAAACGACAGAGCAGGATGGTCTCGTTGATGGTATCGGTCATCAGCCTCTCTGGAGCCTCGGGGATGTCCTGACAGAGGGAGAAATATCGACACAACAGGCAAGTCAAAGAAAGAGAGAGAATCAAAGAAAGACTTCATGAATATTCAAAATAAAAAACTCTTCAGGTAGGAGAAAACCGTATTTATAACTTGTAAATGATTGCAGAACATCTGAAAAGACCAAAGTTTGACAGCTGAGCTTTTTAACAAGTTGTACAATAGTGCCCTCTACAGGCGTCTCTGAAAACCGCAGCTCTCTGCTACTGACAGGATCTTTGAAGATCACTTTCCTGTTTGTCTGTCACAAGTGTAGGCCGGCTTAGACGTTCAGAGGAGCTGGTGTGAATAATACTTTAAGGAATGAAGATGTGGGTGTTTTTGGAAAATTTTTAACATTTTAATCGAGGGGACTGTTTTAAAACTTAATAAAACATTGATGAATGTTTAGTGGATTGTATGCACTCATGAATTTGAATTGTTTGGAATATGTTTGATTAATTTTTTTTTTGGGGACTTTATAAGATGAGCTGAGCAGCTGAATGATGTGCTGTGTTCAACCGTCACCTCTCCGAACTCGTAGTAGGTGCCGTCGTCCTTTTTGACGTCATGCTCTCTGAGCCACTCGATGGCTTCGCTGTAGTTCATCCTCTTGAACGGCCTCTTCGGGGGTTTGAAGTTCTGGAAAAGCCATAGTCACCAAACAAAATATCAACTTTACTACCACACGTGAATGTTATGAAGTCAAATGCTCCAGAATAGTTAGAAAAATGACGCAGGAGCACAAAACTGTCGCTCGTCACGTACAGGGTTGATGTCGTAGAGCAGCTCTGCGGCGGGAGATTTGAGCACTCGGTCCACCACGTCACACACCAGGTCCTCAAGTCTGTTCAGCAGGTCCTCGAATGTAATGAAGGGACACTCCGCCTCGATGTGAGTGTATCTGACCATGGAGGACAATATTAAAAACACTGTAACTACAAATGATAGATCTTTGCAGAAAGGCTTTTAAGCTGTAACGTGGCGACTCACTCAGAAAGATGTCTGCGAGTGCGAGACTGCTCGGCCCGATACGACTGGGCGATACAGAAGGTGTCGCCCAGGGCAGGTATGCAGGTCTCCAGGTAGAGCTGAGAAGACTGCGTCAGGTACGCCTGCTCGCCAAAGTAGTTGAGGTTAAAGAGCGTGGAGCCGCCCTCCACCTGAGTCTGCACCAGAGTCGGAGGAGTGATCTACACCGGAAAAATAAATTAACGATTATTGTAGAGCAAAGCGATCCTCAGTCTGATGCCGAGCTGTCTGCTCCTTTTCACACTCAACCCTCAAACTTACTGCTGCT